TTCCGTTTTTTGTTGCAATGGCTACTGAGGCTTTGGAGTATCGATTTTTGGTTTCTGGCTGATTGTTTGGTCTTTGGCGGGTAAATTGGTATTGTGAGAGATTGGGGTTATGGGTGTCGGATAGGCGATGTTCTGCTATAAGCATGGCATTTGGCCTGTGCTTTAGAATAAATTTCTCAAGCTCAGCTCGTTTGTAAAGCTGTCTAAGTCCGTTTACATTTTGGAATATACATTTAAACTTCATTGTGATATTTTTACGATAAAATCAAGTAATATTTGTTTTTTAGTGTTTTGGCTGTGATTGCTTGGGTACTTCTGTATGGTTTCTTGCATTATTTCTATGCAGTCCTCAATATTTTTCCCAAATAGTTTCATTGAGTCATTATTAAGGTCTTCAAACGTGAATTTATTGGTGTTTCCTGTTTTGTTAATAGGGTTTTTCTTTATTGTTGTTGTTTCGTTACTATTGTGGTAATTTGTTTTTAGGGCGGCTGAGTAGCTTATGCCTTCTTTTATTTGGATTTGTGTTTTGTTATAGGTTGGCGGGTTTATTTTTTTATATAGAGTTTGGGATTGTCTGTTACGTCTATCTATTGCCTCTTTTATATATTTTTTGCGTGTAGGGCAAATTCTTGCGTTGGCTGTGTGTCGTTCGTTGCAGTTGACGCATTGGGTCACGTTTTCCAATTTTTCGTCTTCATTTTCGGTTTTTTTAATTTTACATTGCCCGGGGGCGTGCGTTTCAATGCATTTTACGCATCTGTAAGGCATGTTACAGTTTGAAGCGACGTGATGAAAACGTTGACACTTGCGGCATTGCTTTATTTCTTTAGGGTGCGGTTTATACGATTCTATGTGTACCTTGCAGTTTAGCAAATATCGAATTTTAAAGATATTTGATATGTCTTTAGATTTTTTGATAACTATGTGCCAGTGCTTGGTTTTAAATGGTTCTACTGATATGATTTCAAAATCCGGAGTAGCTTCTTGTAGCGCACTCTTTACTTCTTCTTTACTGAAGACGGTGGGTGGTATTTTTATACCCGTTAGAAGGAAACGTTTCCGACCCCATAAAGTATATATATTCTTGATCAGGGGCACTAACCGAGTCGATCTAGCCATGTCCGTCTGTCCGTCTGTCCGTCTGTCCGTCTGTCTGTCTGTATGAACGCTGAGATCTCGGAAACTACAAAAGCTAGAAGGTTGAGATCTTCCACGCATATTCTTTGGCTTCCTACGCAGCGCAAGTTTATTTTAGCCGAGCGCCACGCCCCCTCTAACGCCCACAATCGCCCACTAACGATTTTAAAATGGGTCCTGCGCCCACATCTTTGAAGATTTCCGAGAAGTATGAATGCAATTTTGTTGTGTATATTTATACCTATCGAAATGTAGAAGACATTTTTCAAATCGGACCATTCATTAAAAAGTTATACGCAATCAAAATTTATATATCTATCTCCCTCGCACTCCCTTTAGCTGAGCTACGATTATAGTCGGGACACCAACCCGAGTACAGCGTTCGCTTTAGCTGAGTGACGGGTATTAAATAGTCGGGACACCAACCCGACTATAGCGTTCTCTCTTGTTTTAATTACTATGTTATGGGGTTTCATTTCTTTAGGAGTATAGGTGAAAAAATTCATTTTATTTTTAGCGAATATAGTTTTAGTTTTTTCAAGTGTTTCTATATTATAAAGTTTGATGTGCGTTACATTTTTGTTGAGGATGTTGAGAGAATATTTATGGCTTATAATGTTTTTAAGTTTGGATGGGTTTTCATTGTAAAGGACAATTACAGGGAGGTTTTTCGCGTTGTTCTCACCTTCTGATGTTGATTTTGGTTTGGCTGCGTTTGATGTTGTAGACGCCTTCTTGTTCGTGGTCTTCTTGTTTTGAACCTTCTGGTTTTTTGTTGATCCAGATGTTTCTAGGGAGGGATACATGTTGTTTTTTTCATTTCCATCAGATTTAGCGTTTTTTGCGATGATGGCTTGGAGACGTTTGTTCTCCTCTCTTAGAAGTTTCATTTCTTGAAGTAGTCCTTGGAGCTCGGAATTGGATAAATTGGACTGCTCATATTCCTCCTCTTCGCAGTCAGTAGAACTGTCGGAGCTGGAGTCACATTCATATTCCTCATATTCGTCGTCTTCGGATGTGTGTCGACGTTTAGTATTTCCGGATTCGAAATCCATTTCTTCACCGCTAACGTGAGTTGGGTCCCCGCCCGTTGTATTGTTATTGTCTGCTATTGCAGCATCCTGACTGTTAGTTGGATGTGCAAAGCTCGTTGTCATTGTAGAATTTAGTTTTGGAATACATTCCAATGTTGGTTTATCAGGTGTTTCCGGTTGTAAGTTAATTTTGTTTTTTTTTGCAGTTTTAGTGTATGGCATGTTTTTTTGTTTAAAGGACACTTTATGGGGTTGACATTTTTTGCTTATCTTTGCGTTGGCAAGTTGTTGTTTAAATGTTTTGATCACTGAGGGATCCTTTTTGAACTTTCGATTTTGATTCAGTCACTATCTGATTTAATTCAGTCACACCCAGAAAAATGATGGACAACATTTTAGGTCATGCATAGCCTAAAACATTTTAAATGGACTAAAAGTTCCTTTTTAGGTCATGTACTGCCTAAAAATTTAAACTTTTGGTATATTTGCCCTACTATTTAGGTCCCGTATAGCCTAATATTTTAGGTCATCGTGGGCCTTAAAATTAATGCATTTTACCTAAATAAATTTTCACGGAACTCTGATACCGTTCTAGCGACGCTATAATTCCCAACCAGTTATAGCGCGGCTTGCATGGTAACCCACTTCGATCGTTGAATAAAACAGCGATTTCACTGCTGAACAGTGAAGCCTCTTCGCTCGTTTTTGTGTGTTGGAATAATGACGACTTCTTGAAGACTAAGCCGACATTGACCTCGAGTTAGCTATAAATTTCTCTGTATTTACTTTATAATATGAAACATTTTTCAGTACAAATTTTTAGGCCAAAGATTGCCTATAATTTTGGATAGGGGTTTTCTCATACTTTAAGGCAGCGTATTACCTAAAATCTAGGCCAAAAATTACCCCATTTTAGGTCATTAATGGCCTAACATTTTAAGTCATACAATCCTAAATTTTAGGCCATTCAAGGACTTAGCTCCAGTTTTAGGCCAATTTTACCTAAGTTCTAGGCCATTTTTTGACATTTGAGGTCATTTTTTTTTCTGGGTGCACTATCTGTGTTTTCACTTTTCTCGGAATTTGCGTTTTTTTCTTAGAATTCTAAGAGAGCAAGTTTTTCCGAGAAGCCTTCTTGGCTGCCTTTCCACTAGTTTTAGGCGGCATTATTCACTTCACTTATGATTTCACAAACACAATTCACTGATCATAGGGGTGCTCAGTTTCAGTTTATTGTCGGTTTCTTTTTGGGTTTAGATACATAGTTAATCTTATATAATAGTAATACAAAAATGACAAGTTTATGTTTACTTAGCTTAGTTAGTGTTACATTTTTAACCCTGCGCTTTCAAGCTTTTCCGGGCGTTCGTTTTTACATTATGATTTATCTTTATTTGTACTCTGTACGGCATTGATATTAGTGTATTTGTATTTGTATTTTGTTTCTTATATTTACTTATATTCAGGGAAAAATGTTTACAAAACAGAAAAAACTGAGAGAATGATGATTGATTTTTGGTTGTTGTGTTCTTAAAAGCTAGAGAAGACTAAGATTAATGGGAAAGGGTGGGGGCGTATTTACAAAGGATGGTGTATACAAGGTATTTAAGGCACGGTGGCTGGTGTTTATTATAAAATATTTTTACTGGTTTGTGTTGTATACCAGATTGTTTGGGTTTATGGAGTCATGCCTCCTATGATAAAATATCAGTTTATTATTTGTATTGTATATTATTCCTATTTCTTTGAGGTAGTTTAAATGGTTTATTGCTAAATTATGAATGGAAAAGTTAATAGGAGGTTGTTTTTGGGCGACGCTGTTTGAGATCAGATGATTACTATTGTTTCGGTTGTTTTCAACGAATTGTTCGATAATTTTGAATATTTGGGTATCGATGCGCTTGGTTTGTGTTAGTTGGTATAGGTTGCTGTTGTTTATAAAGTGATTTGTTATGGAGTTTCTGGCAGAGGAGCCCAGGGCTCTACGTAGTATTTTTCGTTCAAAAAGTCTTAGATTTTCCATTTCACTTGATTTTAAGTTTAACCAGGCTATGTGGCCGTATGTGAGTATTGGTTGTATTAATTTTTTATATATTAGCGATCTTATTTTGATTAATTCTTTGTTTGAATCTGATGCATTTGTTCCGAGTGAACCAAAAGCTTTATGAATTTGGGCTATTTGAATTTTCGCTTTTTTAAGGAGATATTGTGTGTTTGGCTTAAAACTTAGTTTTTCGTCATAGTATACTCCCAGGTATTTTATTTCCTTTACATTTTTTATTTCAGTGTTTCTGTTGACATATATTTTGGGTTGAAAATTACGAGCATTTGGGTATAGATTACGTATCACGTGACCTTTTAATATGGTGCTTTCACATTTGCTGGTATTTAGTTTGAGTCGCCATTTATTAAAATAGTCGGACAGTTGATCAAGGTATTCGATTAGGTCAGTCTCAGCATTGGAGATTCTGGCTCCTGAGGCGAGCAGTAGGATGTCGTCAGCGTATACAAATGGCTGGATTATGGCTCTGGATGTTGAGTTGGTCTGCTAAGTAGATGTTATACAGGATGGGAGCTAGGGTGGATCCTTGTGGGACTCCTGCGACTATTTGCCGGATAAGTGAGCGTTCAGTACCATCAGAGCTGATTACGTAGAAGGAACGGTTTGTTAGGTAGTTGAATATTATTTTAGTCAGATGCTGGTTAAAGTTGTGTAGGTGGTACATTTTATATATCAGTGCATTTGTCCAGACCGTATCAAATGCTTTTTCGATGTCCAGGGCACATGCTATGACGGCTCGCTTGTTACTTATATTGGAGTATATAAAGTTATTAGCGGCTGCTAGTGAATGGGATATTGACATATTTTTCCGGAATCCAAATTGAAATGGTTGGAGGATTGTGTTATTTTCTAGATGTTCTGTTAGTTTCAAGGCAAGTATTTTTTCTAGTAGTTGGCTTATTGCAGATAGTATTGAGATTGGTCTGAATCCCAAAAGGGATTCATGATTAGCTTTTGGTTTTGGAATGGCAATTACTTTGCTGCATTTCCAGCTGCTAGGAAAGTATGATATGTTTAAGCAGTGATTAAATATCCGTGCAATGTGGCTTAGTACAGGTATATTCATTCTTTTTAGAAGGTAGTTGCTCGTTCCATCTGGACCGAGCGTTTTCTTTGCGTTTCCACTCTTTATAAGCTCAAAAAGTTGATTGCTGTTCGTGAACCCGTGTTCTTCCGCATTTTGCCAGTTTCCATCAGCTGTAATATTTTAATTAAAGGTGATGGATGGGCTATTTTCGTTTGAGAATGTTTCCCTTACTGTGCTTTGGATTAGGTTAGCATGAGGCTGGTGCTGTGGGTTTGCTGTCGATAGGCTGTCATTTTGCTTGTGAATTCGTTCAAAGGACCAAGCAAGTCCATTTATTTTATCAAATTCTGTTTTTAAGATGGCTGGAGTAGTTATATCAATGGTTTGTATTTCAACTGGTGTGAGTATTATGTTTTGATTTCTATGGTTAGGTTGTGTGAGTTTCAGAGTTTTTAAGCTTATGTTCCTTGGTTTTAGGTGTTGTATTTTATGTTGTATGTAGTTTATGTGGCTGATTTTTAGTAGGTTGTTTATTTCCTCTTTTAACAGTTTTATTTCATTGTTAATGTACTGTTTTTCATGTGATGAAAGGGAAAATATGTGTCGAAATAGGTACCGTCTGAGATACCGGCAGTGTTTTATAAGTTGCAGGCAGGTAGGACTAGGACGTACGATTTTGTTTGGCTTTTTTGGATCTATTTTAATGATTGGTATGGCTTCGGTGGAGTTTAATGCTTTATCTATTGCTTGATTAAGTTTAATTATGTGGTTGTCGATCTGTTTGGAGGTTTGGTTCAGGCAATTTGGGACTGGTGATAGATTTGTTAGGATGGTCCTGTTCCATATTAACGAGTCCATTTGTTTAAAGTTGTAGATTTTTTTCGGGTCTATTTCCTCTAGTACAAACGGTTCAAGATTTAGTTTAATTTCTACTCCAAAATGGTCTGATGGGAAGTCTTTGGTTATTTTGCATATATTGCCAGTTTCTATTGATAATTCGTTTGAACATATAAAAAAGTCTATTGATGAGTCTATTATTTGGTTGGGCCGGGTGGGTTCTATTGTTGAAAGTAATGTAAGATTGGGTTGGTTTGTGAGCCAATCGTAAAGTAATTGTCCATTTGAATTAAGGTGTCTGGGGTTATGGTTTGGTATATGCCAGCTAGGGTGTTTCGCATTAAGATCACATCCGATTATTATTGGGCTATTGTTGGTCTGTTCATTTATATGGTTTATTATATTGTTTAGGTCTCCTGTGTGAAGCAGAGTCCCTGGTCTTTTGTATAGTGTGACTAATACAATGCTGTGCCTTTCTTGTCGTCGATTTAGGTAACAGATTTGGATTGCAACTGCTTCGATGTTGATTGTGGCTGGTAGGTTCAGCTGTTGATATTTCATTCCGTTTTTTGTTGCAATGGCTACTGAGGCTTTGGAGTATCGATTTTTGGTTTCTGGCTGATTGTTTGGTCTTTGGCGGGTAAATTGGTATTGTGAGAGATTGGGGTTATGGGTGTCGGATAGGCGATGTTCTGCTATAAGCATGGCATTTGGCCTGTGCTTTAGAATAAATTTCTCAAGCTCAGCTCGTTTGTAAAGCTGTCTAAGTCCGTTTACATTTTGGAATATACATTTAAACTTCATTGTGATATTTTTACGATAAAATCAAGTAATATTTGTTTTTTAGTGTTTTGGCTGTGATTGCTTGGGTACTTCTGTATGGTTTCTTGCATTATTTCTATGCAGTCCTCAATATTTTTCCCAAATAGTTTCATTGAGTCATTATTAAGGTCTTCAAACGTGAATTTATTGGTGTTTCCTGTTTTGTTAATAGGGTTTTTCTTTATTGTTGTTGTTTCGTTACTATTGTGGTAATTTGTTTTTAGGGCGGCTGAGTAGCTTATGCCTTCTTTTATTTGGATTTGTGTTTTGTTATAGGTTGGCGGGTTTATTTTTTTATATAGAGTTTGGGATTGTCTGTTACGTCTATCTATTGCCTCTTTTATATATTTTTTGCGTGTAGGGCAAATTCTTGCGTTGGCTGTGTGTCGTTCGTTGCAGTTGACGCATTGGGTCACGTTTTCCAATTTTTCGTCTTCATTTTCGGTTTTTTTAATTTTACATTGCCCGGGGGCGTGCGTTTCAATGCATTTTACGCATCTGTAAGGCATGTTACAGTTTGAAGCGACGTGATGAAAACGTTGACACTTGCGGCATTGCTTTATTTCTTTAGGGTGCGGTTTATACGATTCTATGTGTACCTTGCAGTTTAGCAAATATCGAATTTTAAAGATATTTGATATGTCTTTAGATTTTTTGATAACTATGTGCCAGTGCTTGGTTTTAAATGGTTCTACTGATATGATTTCAAAATCCGGAGTAGCTTCTTGTAGCGCACTCTTTACTTCTTCTTTACTGAAGACGGTGGGTGGTATTTTTATACCCGTTAGAAGGAAACGTTTCCGACCCCATAAAGTATATATATTCTTGATCAGGGGCACTAACCGAGTCGATCTAGCCATGTCCGTCTGTCCGTCTGTCCGTCTGTCCGTCTGTCTGTCTGTATGAACGCTGAGATCTCGGAAACTACAAAAGCTAGAAGGTTGAGATCTTCCACGCATATTCTTTGGCTTCCTACGCAGCGCAAGTTTATTTTAGCCGAGCGCCACGCCCCCTCTAACGCCCACAATCGCCCACTAACGATTTTAAAATGGGTCCTGCGCCCACATCTTTGAAGATTTCCGAGAAGTATGAATGCAATTTTGTTGTGTATATTTATACCTATCGAAATGTAGAAGACATTTTTCAAATCGGACCATTCATTAAAAAGTTATACGCAATCAAAATTTATATATCTATCTCCCTCGCACTCCCTTTAGCTGAGCTACGATTATAGTCGGGACACCAACCCGAGTACAGCGTTCGCTTTAGCTGAGTGACGGGTATTAAATAGTCGGGACACCAACCCGACTATAGCGTTCTCTCTTGTTTTAATTACTATGTTATGGGGTTTCATTTCTTTAGGAGTATAGGTGAAAAAATTCATTTTATTTTTAGCGAATATAGTTTTAGTTTTTTCAAGTGTTTCTATATTATAAAGTTTGATGTGCGTTACATTTTTGTTGAGGATGTTGAGAGAATATTTATGGCTTATAATGTTTTTAAGTTTGGATGGGTTTTCATTGTAAAGGACAATTACAGGGAGGTTTTTCGCGTTGTTCTCACCTTCTGATGTTGATTTTGGTTTGGCTGCGTTTGATGTTGTAGACGCCTTCTTGTTCGTGGTCTTCTTGTTTTGAACCTTCTGGTTTTTTGTTGATCCAGATGTTTCTAGGGAGGGATACATGTTGTTTTTTTCATTTCCATCAGATTTAGCGTTTTTTGCGATGATGGCTTGGAGACGTTTGTTCTCCTCTCTTAGAAGTTTCATTTCTTGAAGTAGTCCTTGGAGCTCGGAATTGGATAAATTGGACTGCTCATATTCCTCCTCTTCGCAGTCAGTAGAACTGTCGGAGCTGGAGTCACATTCATATTCCTCATATTCGTCGTCTTCGGATGTGTGTCGACGTTTAGTATTTCCGGATTCGAAATCCATTTCTTCACCGCTAACGTGAGTTGGGTCCCCGCCCGTTGTATTGTTATTGTCTGCTATTGCAGCATCCTGACTGTTAGTTGGATGTGCAAAGCTCGTTGTCATTGTAGAATTTAGTTTTGGAATACATTCCAATGTTGGTTTATCAGGTGTTTCCGGTTGTAAGTTAATTTTTTTTTTTTTTTGCAGTTTTAGTGTATGGCATGTTTTTTTGTTTAAAGGACACTTTATGGGGTTGACATTTTTTGCTTATCTTTGCGTTGGCAAGTTGTTGTTTAAATGTTTTGATCACTGAGGGATCCATTTTGAACTTTCGATTTTGATTCAGTCACTATCTGATTTAATTCAGTCACTATCTGTGTTTTCACTTTTCTCGGAATTTGCGTTTTTTTCTTAGAATTCTAAGAGAGCAAGTTTTTCCGAGAAGCCTTCTTGGCTGCCTTTCCACTAGTTTTAGGCGGCATTATTCACTTCACTTATGATTTCACAAACACAATTCACTGATCATAGTGGTGCGAAGAGAGTGTTCAGCTTTATACTTTTTTTCGAGCAATGTTTTCAGGTCTATGGCACCCACCCCTAACTGAACGCGCAGGCAGACGAAAAAGTATAAATACGTGGCTACCCGGGGCTGGGCGAGCATTCAGTGTGTTTTCAGTGTGTAAAGTGAACCAAGTGAAATACTCGTAAAGCAAAATGTCTGGTCGTGGAAAAGGTGGCAAAGTGAAGGGAAAGGCAAAGTCCCGCTCGAACCGTGCCGGTCTTCAGTTCCCAGTGGGCCGTATTCACCGTCTGCTCCGCAAGGGCAACTATGCCGAGCGTGTTGGTGCCGGCGCTCCTGTTTACCTAGCTGCCGTGATGGAATATCTGGCCGCTGAGGTTCTCGAGTTGGCTGGCAATGCTGCCCGTGACAACAAGAAGACTAGGATTATTGAACAAGCTGCTCTCCGGTGTCACCATTGCCCAGGGCGGAGTGCTGCCCAACATCCAGGCCGTTCTGTTGCCCAAGAAGACCGAGAAGAAGGCTTAATCGTTTTAAAAGCGGAGCTCATTTGTACATACAAACATATACCCAACCGTCCTTTTCAGGACGACCACGTTATTACCAAAGAATAGAAGATTTACATATACGAATATGATTTAATTTTAAAAATAAACTATAAAACTGCTTGAAATATAACATTGAGACTTAAATGAACTCAAATGGTACAAATGGTAGGTTCACAATACTATTCGGAAGCTAATGTTGGATTTGTTCGGCCGTCGGTCCAGTAGATTAGTGGTCGAAAGCTACAGGATCTAAATGTTCAATTCTTAGATTACATTGGCGACTCACTCGTATTTCTTCCTCAAAAGATGTAACGAGTTGCCGTTTACGCTTACACTATTCCGTTGCAAGCAGTACAGTTTGTACAAAATACATTCATCCCATGTGCATGTGTAGTTTGATATTTCAGTGACCGATTGTTTTCCAGCGCATTTTAATATTATTGTATTATAAATATTATTGAAAATTTGTCTTCTCTCGAAATTTTAATGGTGGTCCTGAAAAGGACCGATTGCTGAATGAAGTACAAGCTGTACTAGTTTTTTAACCGCCGAAGCCGTACAGGGTGCGGCCTTGCCTCTTCAGGGCGTACGCAACATTCATGGCTGTGACAGTCTTCCTCTTGGCGTGTTCGGTGTAGGTGACGGCATCACGGATAACGTTCTCCAAGAACCAACCCGACCCAATCTAAATGACAAACCAGACTCGTCTATAGACCTATTTCTAACCTCAACCACAACGTCTATTGAATCAGGCTGCATAGTCATAAAAGACTTTCCATCAGATCATTTCTCAATACAAATTATAATAAAAATAGCACAATCTCGGCTAGTATATAATGATAGTAAATCAATATATAATTTCAACAAAATCAACCCACTACTCTGGAACAAATTAATACTACAAAACGTTCCAAGCATCCCCATCGATACAAATATAACTTCACCAGAAATAGATAACCACATCAAAACATTATCCGACGCCATTGCTAAAACCATAGAAAATCCCATAGTGATCCCAAAACTAGAATTTAAACCAAATAGTCCAAACCGGCACACAATTAACCTGAGCAAACCATGCTTAAAGCTAATAAAAGAGAAGCGAACCCTAAGACGAACGCTATTTCGAAAAATAACCTCCCTCACAATAGAAGAAAAAACCATAATCAAACAAACAATTAAATAAATAGACATACAAATCTCAAACCACATAGAGCAAATTGAACTTAAAATCATCGGCAAAAGGCTTGCAGCAATAAACCCAAGCAAAATTAGCTATAAATCCATCAAAAACATAAATCCTCATAATACTCAACGATAATGAAAAGAACTCCATAGACATATCAATAGACCAGCACACCTTTCCCACACTTACAACTGACTTCGCTAAAGTCAATGCTCTCGCTTGGTCTTTCGAGCAAACACACAAACAAAATCACGACATGACTTTAAGCAGCGAATCACTCAGAGCACACCGTTCACAAATAGAATCTACAATAACTGAGCTAACCTCTACCCCACCGAATCACATAATAACCTTCGATAATCAAAATACAGCCGAAGGCGAATGGGAAGGTTCTGAGGAACTTGGGTTTACCAATGCTGAAGAGCTTCTCGACATTCTGAAATGTAAAAATAACAAAAAAGGTCTAGGTCATGATATGACCAGCAATTTCATTTTAAAATGTTTTAATATACCTCTGCTTAGGCACTTAAGCATTATCTTCAACCACTGCATTATTCATAGTTACTTTCCCTTATACTGGAAGCACTGCAAAATCATCCCCATCCTAAAACCAAACTCTAACCCAAACCACCTACGTAGCTATAGACCTATAGCTATTCTCTCCGCAATCAGTATGCTGTTCGAAAAAATAATAATGAAAAACCTAATTAAACAAGTAAAATCCAAAAATACCTTGAAAAATGAACAATATGGATTCCGAGAAGGGGTAACCCTAAACCACGCTCTGATATCAGCTAACAATTTCATCTTTGAAAACATCCACCGTAGGCGGGCTACAATAGCCTGTGCGCTCGACTTTGAGAAGGCCTTCGATACTGTTTGGACACAAGGTCTGATTTACAAAATTAAAAATATCTATCGATTTACCCTCAACAGTACAATGCAGATACATAGCTACTTAACGGACAGATCTTTTAGCGTTACCAGCCCTGACAGCTCGGAAAATTCAATGACTAGATTGATACCTGCAGGTGTGCCACAAGGTTCGATACTTGCCCCTTTACTCTACAACA